TTAATTTAAAGCCATATATGTTGCGTGCATTAACAGCATGAGAGGTTCATGTAGGCTCTCTGTCTTGCCTGACTGGGCCATTTTAATTGTTCATAGGTCGTTTCTAGGGAAGCAAAGTAAAGGAGGCTTGAGATGAAATGTAATATGAACAGAAGTAGGGGTCATGTACTCTGGGGAGAGAGCTTGTCTGCGTTAGCACTTGTTAGGGACCTTTCAGGCACACAGGATCGTCAGTGAATATGAAAATGAGTGGCCCTGTGAAATACGCATCTGTGTGGATGCCCCTAATATCCCATCTGGGAGTCTGTGCTTAATGACACGAGCATACCATGCAAGCTCAGAGTGCTCTTTGAAAATGTCACCACCTCTCCGTTCTCGAAAACATCACGTGGTACCTGGCTCTCTTGAGGGTAGGAGCCTCCAGCGATGTGGAGAAGGCTGCCTTTCCTCAGCATCTTTTCAGAGACCCTTAATTTTTCCTCCTTTTCTTCATTTTCTCCTCATTTTAATGGGATAGTGAGCCAGAAGTTCCTGTTTCAAGCAGCAGAACATTGTATTTCATTAGCTCCATTACACACTTGGTTTAATTTCCAATTAGCCTGGGATGCTAGCAAAATAATCTGATTGCTTTGGCTGTTTGGTGTTCTAGATCTGCCTAGCTTCCCTCCTGTCCCCCCACCCCCTGCAAAGCTTTTCCATGTGGGTTGGTAGGCAGACACTCAGGTTTTCACCCACCCCCTTTCCTCCTTGTTAATGTATTTTATACCGTTTGCTCTGAGCTAAAGGTTTGAGCTGCCAGAAGGAATAACTGGCAAATCAGTGTTCCTACCTCTGCAGCTCTCCGTGAGGTCGGATCTGGTCTCTCTGGCTGCAGAGGGGGTTTGTCTGTAGGTGGGTTTAAAAATGTTGGGTTCTTGGTAAATCTGTAATGTAGTTTAAGTGCAAGGTTTTGGTTGAGGTTTTTTTTTTGATAAGAGCGTGTGAGATTTAGTTATCCTCATCCCAATAACACTTCTCAGAGAGTCTAAATTCGTTGGGAAATTCCAGCCAAAAAGCAAGTTTATTGTCATTCGGCTCAACTGCGCTCTAACGGGGTGTTGCTGTGACTGCATTTGAATAATGTTGAAATGTACCCAGGGTGAACTGATTTACATCAGGAAACCAGGGATCTGCCATTATTATTATTAAATCTTCCGTCTGCCCTGCATTTGTACTTTCTAGATGGTTTTTTTAGGTTGATTCTCATTGGTTGGTAGCTGTTAGCTTAAAGACTGTATTCTTAATTGCAAGTCAAGTGAGGCGTTTTGCCACGGAATTAACTTACAAGTTTAAGCTTTTAAAAGCTTTTCCTGTTCATTAATTGTTTGGGCTTACATATCTTTGGCTAGCGGGTTGACCTCAGGGGTTTTTTTCATTATTTTTGAGAACTAAAGGCTCTATTAGATGTTAGCTTCTTGTCCTTTTAGTCTGCTTCTTCCAGTCTGTGAAATAAGTTATACAACTCCTGGTTGCGCTCTCATCAAAATGAACTTGTCGCACGTTTTGAAAAGCAGAGAACACTTTGCTTCCTAAAGAAGCTTGTGGCTTTTTTTCCTCAGCCGAGGTATGGCATTGGCTATGAAACTTGTCCAGTTCCGTGGAGCACTTTGTCCTATACCACTTATAAAGCTTCAGCTTTACTTTGAATGTGTCCCCAGCAAGTACCTCATCATTGTGATTTATTTTCAAGGGGACAAAACCAATCTGTTGTGTAACTTACTTTATCACAGTGTACCTTGTCCTTGCTGTTCAGTGCAGTTGGACTTCACTGTCTTGTGTTGCTTTGTTAAGGAAGACGTATCAACTGAGTTGAAGCCTTAAGGTTCAGCTTTGATGTTGTAGAATTTCTTTGACCAAAACATCTTTCTAAATACGATGACACGTATGTGACTGCCACAGTATATACTAGATTACCAGGTGATATAATACTTGAATTGGTGTTGACTGGTTCTTAATGGACTTTTCTTCCATACCTGAGTGATAACTGTTAGTATCCCAAACTGAGGACAACGCTTCAGTCTTTGTTTACGTGTTTCCTAAGCCATCACTGAGTGAGAGCTGTCAGCAAAGTAGGAGTCGTCGTGTACTGGAATGAAACCAGTGCCGGCTTGTATCGCTCTCTGTTCCTGTCTCACAGTGAAGCCGGTGGCGGTGCCAATGAAGAGAGGTGAGCGTGTGTACTTGAACCAGTGTTTATGTTGGACTGGTTCCTGAAATCTGTTTTCATTTCAACTGTGCTGCGGCCTTGAAGATGCTAATTATTTTTGTTGGCATACCATAACGTATCAATATGTTCAGTGTGAATCGCCAGCAAGTACTTTTTTAAAAATAAATGTTGCTTAAAGTTTGAAGATATTCCCCATCCCTTCCCTTACTCCCTTTTGCTTCATTTATCTTCTTGTCACCCTGTTGACAGCAGCACTGTTCTGCTAAGGTAGAGGGTGAGGACCAGCTTTAATTGTGGACTCTCAGATTGTAGATCCCAGTGTATCTGGCAGAACTGAACTGCCACCAAATGTTTCACAGCGCCTTCTCATCCTTTTTTTGTAACACCCAAGGAAACCACAGCCCATGCTCCTAAATGCATCTTGCCATCTGACCCTCTTCCTCACGGGTGATTTTAATGAACATCTGACATCTAGTGGGTTCCACGTAGCATCTCATCCTCAGCTTTGATTTGGACACTTGCGTTTATGCTGCCGTGTTAGTTCCTGAAAAGAGTCCGGAAAGATTCTAAAAGCGAGACCTGGTTCACAGTCAGGTCTCTGGGTTGGAGCTACTGTACCAGAGAGCCCACGGTAACAGCATTTCTGTGTGTCCTTTGCCCGTGGCAAACTCCAAGTGATAGACTTGTCTTGCTCTGCAAGGAGAGGAACTTAAAGCGCAGCTGCTTTGACTCGTGCTTGCCCCAGGGTTTGGGGCACCCACATGGCCCAATTACTGCAGCTAGTGCTCGGCAGCGTGAGTGCGCTTGCCAGAGCTCAGCCTGTTCCTTAGTACAACTTGACAGGTACCTTCCTGCGATGCTTTGGCTCTGTCACTTTTTTTTATGACTTCAAATTCTTTCTCCAAAGCCCTTGTTTCATTTTATAAGTGTTTTTTTCATAATGAGTTTGAACTTTTCGGTAGCTTTTATGATTTGTCTTCAGTTGTAAACTTCCAAAATATAGTGAAATTAAAACAGGCTTTATCTTCAGTTTTATGCTGTGTCACATTAACCATTCAGGAATTAGGCAAATTAAATAACGGGAAGAATAAGCAGCATATTCTAATAAGTTACTCATTAAAACAGTGTGAGAAGACAGCAGTTCTGATTGCTAATGATTTTGGTGACAGAAGGCTCATTCAACTAATGAAATTCATAAAATCTTGGATCAAAATCCTGTCTCTGACCTCTAGGTGTGAAATGCAAAACAATCAACTTTACTGTGCTTGTGCGATGACTTTGGAATATATTGGTTTAATGACAAGCAGTGATGGGAACAAGGCAGAGAATTTTTTGGTTGTGCTGTTCTTGTTTTCAGTGTACTGCATCAAAAGCATCTTTAGTCATCCAGAGAATCAGACTATTTTAGATAAGATGTTTCTTTGCCTTAATCCCATAGAAAATAATGCTATAAATCTTCATTTTAGCAGGTACGTACTGTGAGTTGGGCTGGACATGATATGCATTGTAAAACATCTTGAAAATGCCTTTTCTTAGGGTATATCAGTCTTGTATGTTAAACTCAGGCTTAAATCCCTTTTCTAGTTAGTTAAAAAATTAAAGACTTTTGTCTCATCTGCAAATTTTCTATTTTGTCTGTATATTCTGCAACTTTTCTATTTTAAAAATCTTTGCATGGCATCTGTTAGAATAACTGTTGAACTTGAGTATGGAACTAAGAATTAGAAATTGGTGTTGCACTCCACTTCTCGCTCTTGTCAAGCTGGACCCTGGACCTCCTCTCTGCTTCCTTTTGTCCATACTTACAGAAGAGAAGACCTTATATCGTCTTCAATGTAGCAAGAATATTTTGAGTGATGAGTTGTGCTGGAGTGCTTGCTTTAAGGGGACGCTGTAAAGCAGACGAATGGATGCTGTGGAGACTGTTTGGAATTGAAATATGTGCTATTAAAAAATTTAGCAGGAGTTGCTCGTTTTAGGGAAACTGTGTGTTCGCTTTCAAACTGGGTGACCTGACAGTGTTTCTACAGAGCTGAAGGCTGCCTGGCACCTGACATCTCCTCTTACTGAGGAGACAGTTCTTCTTGCTTCTCAGCTCGCATTAAGCAGTGTGCCGTGGGACTGCCAAGGGGAAGTCAGGCAAGAGGCATCCGTTCCTGAATGAGCAGGGCAATTAGAGTCTTTGAGATCTTGACTGTATCAGTTGAGCATCTCCTGAAAGTGGGGGGAGATGACACCTATTTGAAGCAAGCCGGGGTGGAAGTCTGGAGCCTGCAGGAAGGTGAGATGTTCTAGTTCCATGTGGACACTCTTTGATGCCATCTCTGGCTCCCTCCAGAGTAAAGTCTCTTGTGAGGTTCTGGTCCTAGGTCCCCATTCTGTCCAGAGTCAACGTTAACTTTTGTTTCTCTTCAACAAGAATACTTTCAAGTTGTAATTTCTCTAGCAAAATGCTCTTTGCACTCATGCGGGCGTTTCATGTTTCCTGTGTGTGTTAGCAGCCCCCTTCTGCTGTGCTGCTGTTCTTTCACTTCCTCCCCACGAGACTCCTCAAATTTTGGGAAAGAGCAAGGTTACAGTCAGGCTTTGGGCTCTCCAGGTTGTTTGTGAGGTTGTACTGGGTCCCTGAAGGCTCAGATGACTGACGTGGTGGCTGCTGCTCAGCAGCTGATAGCACGCACCGGGATCTCCGTGTTTGTTTCCCCCATATAACCCATAGTAAGCCCAGGTTAGTCCTTACCAAGGCACTGATGGCATGTGAGCAAAGGATGTGTCTTCTTGTCTCTTCTCCCAGGTGGTAGCGAACGCTGTGGCTGCCTTGTCGGAAATCAGTGAATCGCATCCCAACAGCAACCTGCTGGATTTGAACCCTCAGAACATTAACAAGCTGCTGACAGCTTTGAATGAGTGCACGGAGTGGGGCCAGATCTTCATCCTGGACTGTCTGTCCAACTACAACCCCAAGGATGATCGCGAAGCTCAGAGGTATGGTTGTTCCTGCTCTCTGCATGGGCCACTTGGTTTCTTTGGTAGCAGGGTGCTTGCAGGCTTCTGGCAGTGTTACAGCTCTGGAAAGGGCCTGTGGTAGCAGGGGTCTCGGGTGGGGTCTGTAACAGCACAAATAAGACTTGAAGTAAGAGACGTTTAAAAGGGAAGCAACTTTTGGTAGTTTGGGCTGGTGCTGGAAACCTGCCCCTTCCCTTTGCAGAACGACTTTCTCTGATTATCGTTAGCTGCTTTTTTTACACTTTTTTCCATCTAAAAGGCCAGTTCTTGTGGGAACTGGCCCTACTAAGAAGGGATCAGCCCAAGACCAAAGCTGTAACAATGGAGGCACTGTTTGGAGGATTTTCTGGTTTAAAGCAGAACTTTCAAATCTGGTTTTGCTACTTTGAGAGGCAAGAAGCCCTTTCAGGTTTGGGGGCTTCCAAAGTACTACAGGTCTGAGACTGGAATACTTTTTCCAACTAAAAACTAGTCTGTGATATGATAGAACTGAAAATAAAGGTAAGAAACTATTTTTCTTATCACTCCGAATTCACCCTTCTACTTTTACCTTTAGCTGCAGTGACTAAACCTAAATGCAAAGACCTTAGGGTTTAGGTAGTGCAATGTTGCATTGTGCACTTCAAACCTCTTCCTCATCTGTGTCCAGAATCACAAGAAGTCAGCTTCTGTACCCAAGAGAGCAAGGAACCAGCAAGAAGAATTACTTGGAACAGGGGAATTCTCAGACTTGATATATTTCATGTGGATGATGTGGGGAGTGGAAGGGGCACAAGCCCACATACAAAATCCTGGGCAGGCCTTTTCGAATTGGATGGGTTTCTTCATTGACTGTTTTTTGAGGCACCACAGATAATCCACTTTTTAAAAAAAGCCTGCCAGTAATCTTGCCAAGTTGTTGAGGTTTTTTTTCACCTCTCTCACCCTTGTGTTCTGTTTCTGTGCCAGAAGCAGCTATTAATGAGCGCTAGCAAACTGCAGAGATCTCTAGGGTGTCAGGCCAGTATTACCCTACCTTTGTCAGAAAGGGACCACTAGATTGAGCAACTGTGAACATGTCCCAGTTCCTCATCTGTAATTCCTCTCAAGAGTGGTGTATAAAACTGGATGGGCAATAACTTTGTGTGGAGTTTGACTCTCGGAGCCTGCCTTATTTCATGTAGGAGAATGACAGCACCTAGTTTTGTATAGACTTCTCCTTGACAGCATGAGGAAACAGGCACGGGGAGATGAAGCGGTGTTGGCAAGCCGGGTGACCTTGGGCAGACTGTCCCCAACTCTCACTTGGAGTCCTCTGCTCTTCAGTTAGCCATGCTGCTTCCCTTCCAGGCTGGCTGAAAGCAAATCTTACAGGGAAGGGAACTTCAGGAGGCACAGATGGGAATAAGATTGTTCTGGGTTAGCAATATGCAGGAGGGGGTGGGAAGAAGTTTGACAGCTGCTGTAAGAAAGACCATATGAACCCAAACTTCCTTTCTGCTCGGGAGGAGTTGTTTAGAATGCTGTTGATGATAGGATCCACTGAGGCAGGTGGTGAAGCTGCGACTTGGGAGGATATTTAGGTCACTTTTTCCTTATATCTTTAGAGTAACAGAAACCTTTCCTTTTTTTTTTTTTTTTTTTTGGAAACAAATACCCCCCCCCCCCCCCCCCCCCCCCAAGCAAGCCAGAAGTGTGTATCGCCTCTGAATGATTATATGGGGGCTAACGTGTTTTTCTGATAGCTGTTTTGTTAAAGTTGTATTTGTAATTGATTGACAAGATCACAGAAATAGAGAATGCCACCAGGCAAAGGCAGACAGCACTAATAGCTGAACATGCGTTGGGACTGTAATGCTGAGAGCTGGAAGAGTTCCTGAGCTAACTGTGGTGGGAGAGAAGCTTGAAGCTGTGGAAGAAGTTGTTCTTGTTTGCTTCCTGCTGTGTGCAGGAAAGCAGGACTTTGCCTGTTCTTTGTGAACAAAAGCAAATCAAAGTGGTGTCTGAGAAGCTATCTTCAGCCGTGTACAGTCTCCTAAATTCAGATAAGATCCGAAATATTTGACATTCTGAAATAAATGTGAACCCTTTCTTACTCCTCTGTCTCCAGTATTTGTGAACGCGTGACCCCTCGGCTGTCTCATGCCAACTCAGCAGTGGTGCTGTCAGCAGTGAAGGTCCTGATGAAGTTTCTGGAACTTCTTCCCAAAGACTCTGACTATTACAACATGCTGCTGAAGAAACTTGCTCCTCCGCTGGTGACCCTGCTGTCTGGAGAGCCCGAAGTTCAGTATGTTGCCCTGAGAAACATCAACTTGATTGTGCAGAAAAGGTAAAGCCTCAGGGGGGTGTTATTCTTGGGTTGTTGAAGGGCATCTGGTTATCTCAGACCTTCACATATTTCCACACGCACAGAACTTCTTTTAATCCGGGTTCAGGTCCCTCGAGGGACGGATTAAACGGTCTCATGACTCTGGTAGCCTGAATTGATTTTCTTTACAGCATACTTGTGATACCAGTATCATACAGTATTTCTTTACATACCTCTCTCTTCTCCGCCTTTTTAAGAGCAGTGAAAAACTGCCCTCTCATGAGACTATAAATCAGATTGCAAGTAGGAAGGGGAGGGTGTAACTGTACAGTTCAGTGACCTGTAGAAACTCAGTGTGCCAGTGGTATTCTCCTCAGCATAGAACCCCCAGGCTGGTGACATACTGATGTACAGTGGGTTGGTTTTTTCACCACTTCACTCCCATGTGCATGTTTAGATACTGCTGCTCCCTGCTGGAAAGGTGGGATAGGTTGGGTAACACTCTGTGATGGTGTTCAGGGCAGAGTTACTGTGCGCTAGCATCTTGCAAGTGAAAGCAGAAAATGAGTTTGTAGGTGGGTTTTGCATTGAGACCTGAAAACACCGTTGTCCGCTGACTGCAGTGGTTGGCTCAGCAGTTCAAATGGAGGAAGTAAAGATGTGGGCATGGTTAGAGAGACTTGAATTCTGCATTTTGATTCTAAACTTTCTTTTTTTCCAGCCTTCTAACTTTCTTAAAATTATTGTTGTCGTATGTTTATCTGCATGTCCTGGACACAAAGTTATACCACTCTGTTTCTTAGTGAATGTTTGAGTAGCTTTATAAACAAAAGATACCTTTGGTTAGGATAGAGCCCACTGTTGTTACCAGTCTTGAGTGAAATGATGTTATGTTTCCTCCAGGCCTGAAATCCTGAAGCAGGAAATCAAGGTGTTCTTTGTGAAGTACAACGACCCCATCTATGTCAAACTGGAGAAACTGGACATCATGATCCGCCTAGCTTCTCAAGCAAACATTGCCCAGGTCAGCTGAGGAACTTCTGGTGTGTTCTGCATCTGTTCTGGGGATGGAAAACCCTCTCCTGGTCCTTGTACGCAACTACTGCTGGTGGTGTCCTGGCTTTTAGGCATCGCTGTCCCTATAGCTCTTTGCAGCCACTCAGTGGGAGGTGTTGGAGTTTCCTCCATGATTTAAATGTTAATAGCATGGTATGTCTTGCATCGTGACCGTTAGGTAGATCTTGTTTTACAGATTACAATTCCAGGAGGAGAGCTGATGTCTCCTGTCAAATGAGTCACTGCTAGTGCTGAGGCTGGAATGAGAGGCTTGTTTCAAATGAGAGAGGTGTGCCTGTAACGGAGGCATTCAGAAATGCCAAACATTACTGAAGTGTGAATTTCAAGTGTATTAGTTAAATTGTTAAACCCTTGCACAGGCACTCTTCAGAGCTGAAATAACCTTTATTTTGCTTAACTTCCTTCCAGAGTGGAAATAGCACAAAACTGAAGCTAAACTGAATTGAGATTGCTGTACAGTGTAGATTGTCCTTGGATTTGATGTTGTTTTAATCCAAATTCTTTCTTAAAGGAAGTGTTCTCCAGTGCCACTCTGGCTACAAGGCCTAACACTAATGCAGAATGATTAATGCCTCTGGTTAGTGCTATTATTGTCCCATCCTAATTGTCACAGAGCAGTTTCATTTAATGTGACATTTTTAAGCAACTCTCTTCAGCTCTCTCCTCTAATGTTTTTTGGAACAGAGCAGGGTAATTCGTGCCCCTTTTGTGCTGGAGACATGGAAGACCCTTTAAAAATCAGTTTCTGTGAGAATGTATTCAGAATTTCCTATTTACTCTTGGTAGGCTCCATACTAATTTTAATGCATAGCGTTTAGATAATGCAGGTTGTTTGGATGAAAGGCAGTGGTGTCTGCAGGGCAGAGTATGGAGAGGCATTCCTAAAAACAACCCAAGCCTGTTAAGCAAAGGATCCTATCCAGGATCCAGGGCAGCAGGCTGGTTGCATCCAACTCGGACTCAGGCAGTGTTTGAAAAGCGTAAGCTACTAAACCCAAATGCTCCAAGTACTGTGCAACGTAGATCATCCAAGGAAATAATAAAACTTCAAAACACAGCTGTCCTGTCTACTCTCCTGTCTACTCCTTGCAGATTTATTTGTCTGCAGTCTGGCCCTTTGAGGCCTCTTTATCTTGTCATTGTTCTGGGCAATTTGCATCGAATAGAGCTTTTTCAAACAACTGTCTTTGTGCTGTTCACCTCTCCCTTGCAATCTGTTTGTGACATCATGATGAAATCCCTGATGTCATGTTTGACATGAGAAACTGAAACAAATGAGACTTTGAGGTAATATAAATTGCGTAGGGTCTTTCACTAAAATATTTTTTTCCTAAGCTAAGTGATTTGATTTTAAGACAAAGTAACTTTTTAGTTAGCAGTCTGTTAGATCCCAGCAGGTCCTGGTTTAAACTCTCATTCAGTTTCTGTAAGCAAAAAAAAACCTGACACCAAATAGTAAATCTTTTTCTTAAGAGGGGGAATCTCTTCACACTGTTATTAATCTCTACATAGGTGTTCCAGGGTCTCCTCAGATCTCCTCTGCATCCTCCTTTTGGATCCAGAGGTTCATCTCAGCACAGAAGAGGAGAGATCAAAAATGGTTGTTGCCCAGAGCTGTGCACACAGTGAATGTAGATCAAGTACAATAAACCGTACATAAAATCTGCATGTATGGATGACCCCTACTTCACTGTATTTTCACTGTAAGAAGGAATAGCAACATTTAAGTTTGGCAGGGCTGATTTTGCCCCAGCTTTTCTTCAGGGAAATGTGAAAATAATCTAGACCGAGCAGTCTTTTGGCTTTGGCGAGCCTAAACCAATTCATGCTGCCTGACCTAAACCAGTGGGTTTCAGAGTTGGAGATTGATTACAGAGTTTGACTGTGTCAGCTTTGAACGTGCATGGCTAGCCGTGGAAGAATACATCCTGCTCGTGTTCCTGTACTGAAGAAGCATCCCTTGTCAGAGTGGGGTGTTGTCTCTGTGTGACCCCAGGGACTCAGCGTGCGCTTTCTCCGCAGGTCCTGGCAGAGCTCAAGGAATACGCCACTGAGGTGGATGTTGACTTCGTGCGCAAGGCTGTCCGAGCAATTGGGCGCTGTGCCATCAAGGTTGAGGCAAGTAGCTAAATCTTGAGGTTTTCTGTGATTCTCTGTCTTCAGAAACAATGATGGGCTGTGCCATGTCGTTCCTCTTTGCTTCTGTGTTGGCAATCAAGTGACCTGGATACATCATGCTCATGGGCAAAGCCCTGGCTGAACAGTAGGACCTGTGAGCTCCAGTTGTGTACATCACAGGAGGGTGGTGTGCTCCTCTCAGACCTTAGCCTGCAGGCAGAGCAAGGCAGCTAAAGCATCCTTGATGGAATATCTTACTGTACTGGCTTCAATGGAACAATGACCGCTTATCCATGAGGACCTCCTTTAATAGCTGTGACCTGACCTTTTGAAGGAGGAAGGACAAGAGATTGTGCAGAGGAACTCAGTATTAGGAAGTGTTTTGTGTCCCCCTTGTTTCAGCTGAATAGAAAACACATGCATAGAATTACAGAGATTGGGGCACTTAAGTGCAATTTGTACAAACAGAGTGACTCTATCCGCTTGTGTAGCGTTCAAGGTCCGTGTAGCTTGTAGCTTCGTTTGGAGTGTGCTCTCTTTAGCCTAGATGCTTATGCAAATAAGTTCCCAAGAACCTCAGCAGTTATCCCAAACAACAGTGTGAAATGTCCTCTGCCAGTTGAACATCCACCAAAATGCTCATAGCAGGTTATTTTTTTCTAGCGACATCCCTGTTAATTTCCGTGTAAATGAGTCTGGTGTGCCTGACAGGAGCTTGGAAAGCCTGTGAAGAGAGGGAAGGCTTACGCTGTGGTGTTGGTACCTTTCAGTAAACTGATAACCGAGTGCAAAATATCACATAAGTGGTCTAATTTCAGCTGAGCTCATTTAGCTTTTGCTAAAGTGTGTTCCCGTGAGCGTTGCCTGACAGCAGATTTAAATAAAAACCTAATCATGCCTGACTGAGTATAGTGGCAGTGCACAGGTTTCCCTTGTTTCAGCTAAACTACTGTAAGTCTGTGTAAAGAGGACACTAACTTCTGTCCTCTTGAGAGAATCAACTGCCCGTGCAGCCTTCTCTTCCTTCCTTCAGCTCTTCAAGGCTTATCACTGCCATGGGCTTGCCTTTAAGTGTAGCCCGATGGAGCAGGTGATTGCTGCCTCTGTTTCATGTTTGCAGCTTGAAGTACCAGGGTGTTCCTTCCGTGTTGTGTGCAGGCAGGCGGCTGTCTGGGTGGAGCCACAGCAGTGATAGTAGAAAATGCCCTTGAGCATGGAAGAGGGCTACCAAGAAGTTAAAAGAAGCCTGTTGCAGGCCTTTTTGTAGCAGTGCTTGTGCTGGCGAGCGGCAGTTTGCTTTAGTTCTCGGCAGGGACTTTCTCGCTAGGATTTGGCCATGTGTCTGCCCTAGTTTCACATGAAAGGTGGCGTATTCCTGCAGTATCAAGGTGGTTTACAAGTTTTTACCCTCTCCTGCCTTCATCCCCTACATTCTTTCTTCCCACCCCTGATACCATGACAGTCATATTCCTTATGCAAAGGACTAGTAACAACGTCCTAGCAAATTTGCAGTGACTCTCTGTGTAATTGTGTCTTTCAATAAGTAGTGTTAACCTTGAGTTTTAGCAGCGCTCCTTTGAAGACACTGCTGCTAAAGGTGTGGTCTGTTTACTCCTCTGACAAGAGCCAGATTTAAAGAGGGCAAATACAGAACAACTCATTACAGTGTCCTCATCTGTAGGTTAATCCCTGTCCCCAGTGCATCTGTGTTTACTAGAGGCTGTTTGCACTGTGAGTTATGACTAATGGAAGAGCATTCTCTCAGCCGTCAGTGTCCAAGTTCCCAAGGCTTAGAAATCTGCTTTTTGACATAGGGTGCAGCTGGCAGGAGCTGGTGATGAATGAGTATTGGTGGGGAACCTCAGCTCTGCCTTCAAGGATCCCACCATTTGTCTAATTGTCTCTCTTCTAGGAGAGTAAGACAGTAAATAAATGTGTCTGCCATGACATGTGCTGTAGAGCAAGTGTGGCACTACCTTTGCAGGGCAGCCGTGCGTGGTTCTGGCAGCAGAGGTAGCGCTCGTTTTGGAAATATAAACAAGACCCATACTAAATAGCAAGGCTGATCGATTTTGCCCAGGCTTAAGTAATCGTATTGGTTTGGGAGGTGTCAGAACAGCATCATTTTGCCTGGATATTGGAAATGTAAACAAGACCCATGCTAAATAGCCCAGGCTTAAGTAATCGTATTGGTTTGGGGGGTGTCAGAACAGCATCATTTTGCCTGGATAGACCAGCTGGGCTCAGAGTTAGCTTGAGGACGTCAACAGCAAACTGTGCTTTAGCAAGGCTTGACAGCATGAGGTGAAGGTATTTGGCTTCTGCATTGGTTTGCTCCATTGCCAGCACTAGATGAAGAAGTCATCTGATGCTTTGATTGTAAGGAAATAAAGCACCACTCCTATGGGAAAATGAAATTCAGTGAATGCAGTAAGAACAGCAATTCCTCTGGAGCAAAGGAGAAGCAGAAGGAGCCATATCAGAGGGGGCTTTGTCTAGGTTCCGGGAGATTCTGCCAGCAGCCTGGTTCTTAGAAATCACGGAGGCTTATTGTTGTGAGCGTGGTATGTGCTACTTGAGTAGTCTTGTGAGCTTTCGTTTGGTTTCTAGAGAAAAACAAAGCAATTTTGATGTTGGTTGGTTGTCCTTTCTCACTCCAACTTGAGCTGTTCTGGGTGGGGCACTCTGTCATCAGTTTGCAGAGCGCTGCAGTCCCCAGCGATGCCTGCCTTCAAACAATAATGTGTTTACAAGGGATGGGGTGAGCTGAGATGTATTTTGTTGCAGGGAAATTTTGTTAGAAGGACTACTCTACTGTGCGTGTGGCCGCATGACTGCTCACTTTCCAAGGGACTCTTGAGCAGTATTGATTTTTAAATCAATACTGCATGTTTCAAAGTGGATGTTGTGCTCTTCCTGGAAGAATCACAGTTTGAAGCATCTAAAGAAAAACAACCCTTAATTTACTTTTCTTTGAATTCTGCTGCTCTTGAAGCTTTGTTAGTTGTAGGCTGTGCCAGGGCTGGACTGCTTGTTGCAGTGACTGATGCTGTAAGTTCTGTAGAGTAGAGTTGACTTAAGACAGATTTACCCTAAGTGCCCCTTAAGGCCACTTGTTAAAACATCTGGTGAAAGTTGTTGAGAAACCAGTAAGAGATGAAGCTGCAAGCTCTGAAGCTTGCAAGGACTTTGAGTGGGGTTCCCACTGTGAGCAACGTCGGTCTGCGTGGAGCCACGTCCATGGTCAGTCTCTGAAATGGAAGAGTCATCCAGGCCACAGGCCTCGAATCTCTTCTTGAACAGGAGACGAGATCAGAGGAGAACACTGTCAGATTGCTGTTTCATTGCTTCTGTAGTGGCATAGTACCTGTAAAGCCGTGCTAAGGAGGGAGAGGTATTATAGAAAAATATGATACCAATCATATAATTTTATGTGATACCTCTCCTTACTCTGATACCAATTGTATTGAATTTTTTTATGTTTGGTGTGGATTTTAGGGGAGAGTCTTACGGCCTTTAGTGCCAGTTTGCAAAGACAGGGCAAGTGCTGGTTTATGGCGTCTCCTCTCTTGGCTGACCCCCGTGCCAGCATTGCCACCGTTTGCACTTGTAGGCTGGGTTTGTAAGGTACCACAGCTCGAGCCACGAGGGCAAGAAGTCACCAAGAGGTTTTAGTCTCTGCTTGTCCCAAATTCAGCTCTGTAAGTCTTCAGGTTTGTCCTTGAGATTTTTGCCTGTTCTCAAAAAAATGGTTCCTGTGACTTAAATGCCATTTCATTCCTCCTCCTCCTCCTGCCTGGCCTTTAAGTGCCCTGCAAGTGAAGGGGACTATTAGCTCACTTGAATTGAAAAATCCACCTACATTGCTATTGTTTGTGCCCTGTGATGTTTGTCTCGATCCTGAATGCTTTATGAATGTTCTGATGGTGACTGCCTAGGCAGTGTCGTGAGCAGTCTCCTGCTCACATTAATCACCAGCTGTGTAATGAGGCTTCATGTGTGCTTTGCTAATAGCCAAATCAGTGTCCTTGTGTGAGACTCTCGGGTGCTAGAGTTGGTTGCTCCCATGACGTCCTGCCTCACTGTGCTATTTGGGATTATTATTTGCCTCTGACTCCAGTTCTGGTTCCCGGAGCATGCCAGTGTCCAGTCCTTGTTATCTTACAGTGCCTGTGGCTGGGAATTTTTCAGTAATTAATGTGAGAGCCGGATTTCTATTTATAGCTGTGTTTATGTTGCTTGTGACCTCACCCCAAAAATACTGAACCTCTTGCTGGCGTGAGCTGCTTTTGGGTGCTGTTCTTGCAGCATGATTGAAAGCATGGTTTTCTCCTGCCTTCTAGCTTCCCCAGACACCTGCCAGCAGTCCCTGTCAAAACTCTCACACCTCTGGTTGTCTGTTTCAACTGTTAGCCAGCAAGAGGGCGATGTAAGCAGTAATGCAGGCAACGTTCTTGTGGTCTCTGTGTGGTGATCCAGCTAGCTACTGGCACGGTTGCTTCAGTTGTTACTTTTTGCAAGAGCTGGAGCCGGCCGATATCTCCACTGAAACACACAAGCACTTGTCAACCGGTAGATTTTTTTTCTGGATGCGCATACTGAGTTGGTAGCTGTTGTCCTTTTGTTTTCCTCTCTGGGCCTTTTCTTACATGCATGCCTCGTTCCTCAGCGTGGGCTGGGAAGGATTATTCCTTCAGCTTGTTTTAATTGTCTTGTTCTGTCCTTCTCTCTAGCAATCTGCAGAGCGCTGTGTGAGCACACTGCTAGACCTCATCCAGACCAAGGTCAACTATGTGGTCCAGGAGGCCATTGTTGTCATCAGAGACATCTTCCGCAAGTACCCCAACAAGTACGTGAAAGGAGTGCGAGGCTTTTGGAAGCCCCTCTGCTGGCATGGGAACACAGCAATGTAAAACTCACTCAGCACAGGGGCTGAAGCAGAAGTGGCCGTTTTTCTGAAAAGCAGTGTCTGTTCTGATTCTAGCTCCTAATGTGGTAGGATTCAGGTGGTGGCTCTAGATGAGGTACCAGCCTGACACATTATTGGTTTGAATTGAAAGCTTTTCCGTCCCTGTCACCCCATAGTGATGCTGAGCATAAGCCTTAATCAAAACCTAGCAAAGATCTCAAAGAATGGCAGAAGGAAAATTTGACCAAGGTTACAGCATCAGGCTTCTGGTTTTGCTCGTCTCCTCTAGAAGGCTTATATGCAAGGCCATGAAAGCTCATGTCTGAGATCCCAGTCAGATTGTGCTGAACAAAATGACGCTTTCTCCGTCGAGTGTTCGCTTTGGTTCGGGCAGTACTGAGCTGCTTTTAAGCTGTTTCTGCAATAAGGTTTTGTCTCTTCAGCTACAGAACAGCAGCAATGTCTTCCAGCAGAGACTTCATGATCACCTAAAAAGGAACGTGGGACATCTGCAGGCCTCTCTGCAATTTCTGCTGTCAGTTATGAGACTGATTGCCTGGTTATGACAGGGATACCCACGCATGGGAATAGGGGAAGCTAGATAATTAGTGTGGGGTATTGTCTGTTTTACAGCAAAGCCTTTGGGGAAATGTGATATCCAGTTTAGAGTTACCAGCCTGAAGACACCAGCGAGGCTGCAGGATCTGATACAGACTCGTGGTTTGAAATGTTGGATCAAATGTTCCCTTTAGCAAAACAGAGAGGGAGGCAGCTTTGTCTTGAATTCCACATCTGGGTGGTCTTGCTGATTAATGAAACCACAAAGCTCTTGAGGACCCTGTGAGATATTGGTGCTCAGCCTGGAAAAAGAAAAAAGCCTAGAAGCATCTTATGTAGTTGAGTGTAAATGTTGCTTGTCGCATAGGAATGTAATTCAGTGCAGGATTCTCTGGAGAATGATGTGGGCAGAGATGGAGTAACACAAGTTGAATTCACTCCAGTAATCTACCTGTTCTCTGAAAATCAGGTATGAAAGCATCATCGCCACTCTGTGCGAGAACTTAGATTCCCTGGATGAACCAGATGCCAGAGCTGCCATGATCTGGATAGTGGGTGAATATGCAGAAAGAATTGACAATGCAGATGAGCTGTTGGAGAGTTTTTTGGAGGGCTTCCATGATGAAAGTACTCAGGTAAAATTGTGTGGTGCATCTTATCTGTAGAGTTTCATGCAGTGTTATGTATGGGATGGACAGTAAATATTGTTGCAGTGGTCAGAAAATACCTCCCAATGAAAATTTCAATATTTGCCTAAAATAAAACTTTGGGAGTTTGTAAACTTGCTCTGTTGTCTCTATCTCCAAACTTCTCTTCTTGGAAGGATAAGACAGAACAGGAAGGGTTTCCAGATGTTGCATACTTCTTGGGGAATAGCCTTACTAAGGGCCAGAACGTACAGAAGAATACCGGTGAGATGCATAAAAGAATAACAAGAACCTCAGTGTGCTGATCAGGGACTTGTCTGCAAAAGTGTTTTGCAACAGGCAAGAGTCTGAGTCTCACTGTAACAAGTTTCACTGGCAAAGAATAGTGCAATGCTGTTACAAAGCCTAGGACTTGAGTTTCATGTCGGTAAAGGATGTTGAGACTGGGGAGACATTGCTAAAGCATGAATGAATTTTCTAATCTCTGCCGTGCCCCTTTCTCTTAGGTGCAGCTCACTCTGCTGACTGCTATAGTGAAGCTGTTCTTAAAAAAGCCTTCTGAGACA